GTAATGGGCTGGTGTGTGCTATATGGGTTACTTGGAATCAGGTGTAGCTGTGATATGCCATTTTGTGCAGTCCTCTCATCAAGAGTTCAAGTGACTATTTAGTCTGGCTCCTTTAATTTCCAATATCATGAAGTGGCTTAATAAGTGAGCCTAACATGAGTCCAGAAAGGTTCAGATAGCACTGCTCTGAGACTGGGGTGGTTTGCTCCAACAAAGATGTTGTCTGATTGCCATCTTCAAGAACAAACCAGCCTGTTCCAGCAGCAGACCAACAGCGAGCTAAAAACCCCATATAGTTAGCCTATTACTTTCAGTCTCTAGGATTCTATGAGAGAGTTCACTTGTTTGGAGGAAAAAAACAAATATACTTCTGAGATCTTCTAAGTAGCTCTGTTTTTTTACAAAAAGAATGATTGAGAAATTAACAATTCCTTCCCATAACTGATTTCAGTGAAAACTCTCCAGCTTCAGCATTGTCTGAATAACACTTCATTCTTTCCTTGTGCTCATCAGAGAGCATTTTCTATTTCACTGGCATACATGCACATTCAGCTCTACTATTTATAATTCGGTTAAACAATGCCAGCATGCAGCAGTAAAAGGTGTGCATTTCATATGCAAATCAGTGGCAATAATTTTGTACAATTGCTTACTTGTTTGCATCATTATGTTCAACAGCAGCATAACAAAGCGGATGCCACAAAGAATGTTACCAAAATGTGGTTTTGTCTCTACAAGCCCACCCTTCTCTTCACATTTTAGCTAATGAAGCAATATGTTCATAGATGACAGTAGTATAACAGAAATATACAGGCTGCATTCATTGGTTCTATCAAAATATAGGCTTAGATAGTTCCATTAGCATCCAAATTATGCCAGCATATTTGCCTGAAATGATAAATAAATGAACGTATTGTGATTGTCTAAATTGGTGGCTCTGAAATCATATTCTTATTGAATATAGAAGTGAACTAATATTGACCCTTATGTAGCAAGATGGCACCATCTACACACAAAAGGTGATATTACTAGAGTTGGAATCATCAGAGAATTTACGAAAGTACATAAAGGAAAATCCTTCCGCTGATTGCCATCTGCCCCTGTGAAGCCATGTACTCAAGACTGTCTTGACTATTGTGGGGAGAGATGAAAAACACTAAAAAGGATATAGCATTAGAGTATGCTGGAAGAGGACACAGTTGGATCTCTAGCTGGAACTCTAAACAGATGCATTTAGGTGTAGGATCTTCCTTAAGACAAAAGGAGGTACAAACAAATCAGGATCTCAGAAGGAAATTACTGGCCATCTTTGGTAGAGAAATGTCAAGGATACTTTGTGTTTTATCAAACTTAGAGATGTGCGGGACTTGATACCAGAACACCAACCGATCTTCTGATCATTGTTAACACTGCTCCATCAAACAAGCTAGTGTTTATTTAAGAGCATTTCTCAATCTCATACTTAAAGGAAAAGATAGACTGAGCTACAGATATGAAGGCTTAAGTACTAAATATATTTGCAGTCTTCACCTGTCTATTTATCAATAAATTGGGAAGCTTAGACATGCTTTAAATTAAATAAACTGTTCATTACCTGGAACACTGGTCATAATTTTAAAAATTGGAAAATATTGTGGCACCTTAAAGACTGACAGATTTATTGCAGTGTGATCTTTCATGTATTCTAATCCACTTCCTCAGACACAGTGGCTAAAATCCTAATACATAGGGAATCATACAAGCAGTTTTATATTTTTCTGGTTATGTATCACAAACCTGGGAAACATGACTTAAGTGTGACCTAGGTATGTTCAAACATGCAACAACCAGCAAGATCGCTCACATTGCTTACAAGATCACTGGTTTACACTGCAAGTTTCCAGTGGGAGTCTGGGCATGGAGTGCAATATTTGGCTAAAGGTTTATGTACATAGTACACACCCAATTTAAAGACATGGAACATTAATAATAGCAATATCACTGCACAGTCATAGAAAAACTCCAAAGCTTCTAAATTGATAGGAGCCTGTTGAATGATAAAAACTATTGTTTACCAAAAGAGAAGTGCTGTAGAACAGGGTTAAGTAGCCTAAGCCCTCCAGGTTAGGTAGACTATAATTTCTGTTAGCCAAGGCCAGCAGTCCAGGGGTATTAGAAACTGTGGTCATTTTAAGAATTTCTCAGGCAGTAATCTCCTTACCTCTGCTGGAAACTGGTTCTCCCCCCCCCCACCTCCTTTGTGTGTCTGTATATGAAATTATCTGCAATATTATTATTTATTAGCCACTTTGATACCTGACTTAGGATATAAAAGGGATCTAAAAGAAGACAAAGTATTGTAGTGCTGGCCCTAGTAATTAGAATTAGTTTCAGATCATATCTCTTTCTGCCCCCTTCAACTACAACTCTATGAACTATAAAAGTTCCTGCTGAAGAACCTAAGAATTTTAATTTTACTTCATGTATCAAGAGTACTTTTTGCCATGGTAATTAATTAGGAAGCATAGATGAGTAAACAGTTTGTTCCACGTATCCCAATGCTTTTTCATATAAGATTAAGCGCTTGCAAAGCCACCATATGATTATAATGTAGTCCCTTTGAAACTGGCATGTTTATTCCCTTTCTGATCAGAGCTGTAGTTAGGAAAACAATAAAATTACATTCCTGGGTGGATAAATGAGCCCTTTGGGGTCCCTTCTGGGTTTGCATGCAGATTTGAGGGAGGGACAAAGAAGAACCAGGATTAAAAAATAAAGCACATCTGCTACACAATCACAAGCAGGAAACAGATAATATTGGAGAAGACCATGTAACAGAATATAGAATACAAATTATCAAGGGGAACTTCTGTCCCATGACAAGGTATTACTCATGAGACTTTCCTATTTGGCCTGCAAGTTTCTTTAGCTCTTACCTCCTTTCATTGTAGATAATATGTTAAAGATATCTGAAGTTTTGATACCTCACATAAAACAGATATGCTTTGCAGACAGGAGAGCAAAATTTAGAGACCTATTCTTGAACAGATGGAAACAGAATGGAAGGGTGCTTTGTGCACTTGTTGAGAAAATGTCCACACTGGTAAAAATTACTGTACATCTGGTTCTGTTTTCCTTAATTTGGCTTTGCCCTTGGCCTCAACATCTTAACCCCCTACACTTTTTGTAAATTGGAATTCAGTTCCCAAGCAGAAAAATGGTAAAGCAAAATAATTTTAAAGATTGGTTGCATTCTAAATTTCAACAGTAGGAAGAGAGCTGAGGAAAGGGAAGAAAATGTAAGGAGACACAGACTGTACATACTGTAATTGCATAAATGTAATCATACATACTTAGGCACTTAGCTGAATCCTAGTAATGATTACTTGGAGATGAAGACTAACTTGCTCCTATACAAGTGTTCAGTTTTTCACCATTAGTTCCAATATGGAACTGAATTTTAAGAGATTAAACAAATGCCTCCATGAAAAGCCCATTCTGAAGACTGGTCTGGATGAAGAGGGCACACTTTCCTTATACAGTACATGCATAACCATATTGTATGGTTTGATATGCATTTGTATTATGCTGTCGTTCATTTGGATTCTTCAATGTCAAGATCACTTTAGTTCATCTTCAGGTATCCTTTTTTGTATGGCTATACTGTATTTGGATGCTTTAAAGTTTAAACATACATTGTATCTTGGAGAAAGAATGTATTTGAATACAGTACTTTAAAAATAAAACTATTTTGAGAAAATAGTAAATCCAGCTGAAACACTGAGAATGAATATGCATTAAAACGATATATTCCATGTGAAATAATCCTGTAGAGCTTTACAATACTAACATGAAGCCACAAAAATGTGGCATAGGTGTTAATACTTTCCCTTGGGTTTTATTAGGCTATTCTCTGATCAACTGCAGCCTTTGCGGGTGACAAAGCATGCTGTGTCGATTTGTTCCTCAGTAACTGGAACTCAGAGGCATTTATCTGGCCATGGAAACTCCTTTGAACCATCAAATATAAATTCATAGACGTCTGTGCATGTATCCTCCACATACTCACCTTTTCTTATGATTAGGTATGGAGTAGTGCCTTTGAACCATAGATGTCTGTGCATGTATCCTCCACATACTAACCTTTTCTTATGATTAGGTATGGAGTAGTTATGAAATAATGTTGTGGGGATCTAACCATAAAAGCTGTCGTGGCCCAGTACTTTGGGGAGGTAGAAATACTAGTAGAGCTTGGCAGAACAATAGCTGGATTAAGGAAGCCTTTTTCGGCTTTTGCCATAACTGAGCGCTGGTTCCGACAGAAAGCGAAGAGCAAGCGAGCGCGCAAGGTAAGCGCCTGCAGCTCCTTGTGGCCACCGAGCGTCTGCCGAGGAGCCATCTCTGTTTTAGGAGACAAAAGGTCTTTAAAGCGTTCGCCGCCACGTCTTCTGGCCTCCCGAGTTCCACCCCCAATACAGTATAGGACCTGTGTAGCGGGGCCACCGCTCACGAGAGTCATGTGGGTGCTCCTTAACAGTTGTTTTGTGAGGGTGACCGTTACTGTGGAATGAGCGCGAGCGTCGCTGGAAAATGAAGCACGAGCGTGGCAAGCTGCCCCGCCCCCCCCCAAATAAAGCACGGCTTTTCCCACCGGGCAAAACCACTGGAAAGGGGGCGGGGCTAGCCAGCGCGCGCGCGGGGAGCGGACGGGACTGTGTGGAACCAAGTGGGAGGAGGGCTGAAGGAACCCTGCGTTCCCGCGCGCGTTCTGTGGCGCCTTGACTCGGATCAGCCCGCCTCCGCGTGGCAAGCTGCCCCGCCCCCCCCCAAATAAAGCACGGCTTTTCCCACCGGGCAAAACCACTGGAAAGGGGGCGGGGCTAGCCAGCGCGCGCGCGGGGAGCGGACGGGACTGTGTGGAACCAAGTGGGAGGAGGGCTGAAGGAACCCTGCGTTCCCGCGCGCGTTCTGTGGCGCCTTGACTCGGATCAGCCCGCCTCCCTCCCTTCCCGTCACGCGAGAGCGCAGTGCGCGGACCCTCACGCACACACTCACACAAGGCGCTGAGGGGGAGGGGAAGACACGCGAGCCGCCACTGCCGCTCTTAGGGGGGCAAAAACACCCACACCACCCACCCGAGACCAAGGGGCCGGGTAGCCCCCCACACACTCACACTCTTCCTTTTTTCCACAGTGCCTAAGAAGGAGCCAGGTAAGCCCCTTCCCCGGCGGCCCCCTCCCCTCCCTTCCCCTCCGAACTTTCTCTGGCGAAAGGAGCTCGGCCCCAAGGTGTGTGCGTGGCCCCACTGCGGTCTGCTGCGGAAATTGTTGTTCTCTGACACTTCCTTGTGAGTGCGGGTTTAAGAATGCACATTTATTATTTGTATTTCACCTTGATACAGGAAATAACGACAGAGTAACATTAGTGTCCCTGCAGCAAACATGGCTGCCATGTAGCACGGAACAGATCTTATGGGGCAGTGTTCAACAAAGCATTCTCTCAGCTACATCTAACAGAGGCTAAAATAAGAAGGAATATGGTTATGGATGTAACCACCGCCACCCCTTCTCCCGCCCCAGCCGCGTCCGCCTGACGGAGCCATAGCCGCGCTCCGTCCCCTCGCGCGGGCAAACAACCGGCCAGCCCGGGCGCCTCCATCTCTGGTCGCGGGGAGGGGGGCGGAGAGAGTAGAACGCGTCCTCTTGTTTTCTCGTGCGCCCCTCTTTCCCGCTGCCACATAGACCAGCTCAGGCAGGAGGGGAACGACGCGGTGGGAGGGGAGGAGAGGAGCCTTTCCGGAAGCGACCGGGCGCGCCACCAAAAGAGGGCTGGCTCAAAAGGCGCTCCGGCGGGTCGAGACGGAGGCGAGCCTGGGTGGGCGCGGAAGCTGCAGGAGCGTCTTCTTTTTCTGCAGCTGTTCGAGGCACACGCCTCCCCGCCCGCTCTCGTCGTCTGGGCACGGCTTCCCTGGCGAGCAACAGAGCATGTTTTCGACTGTGGGGCCTATTTGGCACCGTTGTTTCGCCTTACTGCGGCAATATTTCGGATTAAGCCCCGCGGGGGGCATGACCTTCGTCTCCTCCTCTCGGCCAGTCGATTTCGGCAGGAATGCTCACATGACTCCTAAAGCTCTCTCTGTCTCCCGCTATTCAAAGGGGGGGGGGAGAGCTAAATTCCCGCGCCTCCAGTGTCATCTTCCTCTTATTGGTTCGTTTTCCAAGCATGGCCACGAGTGCGTGACTGCAGAGAAGGACAACCTCCTTTTGCCTTGATTTCTTAGGGCTGGGAGGAGGGCTTGTTAGTGTTGCTTCTCCAGGTGGTTTCTCTTATTTCCACCCCAGAGCCTGATCTTTCCATAAGGATAAGGAGATAGATCTGAAATAGGTGTGCATTTCGCTTTTGGGAAAAAAGAGATACTGAGCTGGATTTCTGTAGTGGGTGTGTTTGGCATCAGACCATTGACTTTCCCATTTGGAAACAAAATAATTCTCTCCAGTGCCGGCTCCCCACCCAGTCCCTTGATCTCGCAGAATAGTGTTGAACACAGTTCACATAGCTATGTATCCCAGAAACTAAGTGAGGAAAGGCTCACAGACAAGTTGCATCTGTGGTCTGAACCGCCTTCTACCATCTTAGGCGGATAGCCCAGCTGCGGCCCTATCTCAATGTTGGGGCGCTCACCACTTTGGTGCATGCGTTCGTAATCTCAAGATTAGACTACTGTAATGCGCTCTACGTGGGGCTGCCTTTGAGGCTGCTGCGGAAACTTCAGGTGGTGCAGAATGCGGCGGCCAGACTCCTTAGTGGGGTGAAAAAATTCCAACACATTTCACCCACTCTGGCCGCATTGCATTGGCTGCCCATCCGATTCCGCATCGACTTCAAAGTGTTGATGCTTATGTACAAAGCCCTAAACGGTTTAGGGCCTCGATACTTGGCGGAACTCCTTCTACCAGCAAGATCTACCCATGTCACTCGCGCGAGCCAGGAGGTGAGGCTGAGGAGCCTAATGCCAAGGGAGGCCTGGAAGGAAAAGACAAGAAATCGGGCCTTCTCGGCGGTGGCTCCTCGCCTCTGGAACAACCTTCCCCCTGATATTCG